CATTGTTTTTTCTATTTTTTGTAATTAATTTTCCATCAGTTTATTTATTTTTTGTTTTTATTTGATAATACTTTTAAACAAGTGAACTTTCTAATTAATTTTTGTTTTTATTTTATTATGAATTTTTGGGTCCTAATTTTCTTCAGGTCCATTTCAGGCCTTTGGCCATCTTACCTTTTCGGTTTCTTCTGTTCTTCTCTGTAATATATATCCTTTTATTATTTCTCATCTCTCTCCCTCTCTTTTTTTAAAAATAATTTTTTGTAAAATGAAATTTCAACTAGTTTACTTTATTTTTATTTTATTATGAATTTTCGGGACCTAATTTTCTTCTGGTCCACTCATCTGACTTTCTGCGTTAATTTTACCTTGTTAGATTCTTCTGTCCTTTTCTGCAATGTATATACATTTTTCTTTCAGTTTCTTCTCTACAACGTATATCCTATTTTCTTTCTCGTTTCTTCTTAGGTCGTTTTCTAATTTACTCTTATTTTCTGTGATTTTTTTAGATAAACTTTCAACCAGTTTATTTATATATTTTTGTTTTTATTTGCTAATGCATTTTGGGTCCTAATTTTCTTCCAGTCCACTCGTCATCAATTTCATCTTGTTGGCTTCTTCTATTCTTCTTTACGAAGTATGTTCTTTCTTTTTCTCATCTCGTCTTAGGTCGTTTTCTAATTTACTCTTATTTTCTGTGATTTTTTTAGAAAAACTTTCAACAGTTTATTTATATATTTTTGTTTTTATTTGCTAATGCATGTTGGGTCCTAATTTTCTTCCAGTCCACTCGTCATCAATTTCATCTTGTTGGCTTCTTCTATTCTTCTTTACGAAGTATATTCTTTCTTTTTCTCATCTCTTTTAGGTCGTTTTCTAATTTACTCTTTTTAAAAATGTTTTAATGAACTTTGAACCAGTTTATTTTTATATTTTTGGTTCTATTAGCTAATGCATTTTTGAGTCCTAATTTTCTTTCGGTCCACTCATCAGGCTTTTTGTGTTAATTTTATCTTGGTGTACATCCATTTTTCTTTTTCTTCTCTTCTTTGAGTGTTTTCTAAAAGGCTAAGACATTCCAACTTCTAGACATAATTGCTATTCAGCTCTCTGATGCTAAAAATAAAAATATTAACAATTAACATTAATAATAAATTAATTGTTAATAAATTTATTAACAATAAAAAACATAAAAAAACATTAAAAGGTCGAATACCTTTTATTCCAAATTACAGAATAATATTATTCTTACGCTATACATTTCAGTGTTAGTATTTTGCTTATTATTATTAATTATTATACAGTTTTAGAGCTTGCAACGTTTTAACTGTCAATGTTCTATTGTAAGACACATTTTAAATGTTGCTTTTGTACCTTACTTACAAGGAAAAGTCTTACACACTTTTTAAAAAGTATTTTGTTGTGACTAAATTCCAATTCTGTTGTTTATTCTATCCTGGATTACAATCTAATCTTAGCTTTTTTCTGTTGGTTTTACATAATTATAATTTGACAATAGAATAAGGCTCTTTTTGTTTTACACAACTAGAAAATGATGTCACACACAGAAAAGAATATTTGGCAGGAAGATTCGCTGATTTTTTCTACCTTGGACAGTTTAAATTTTGAAATTTTTTTACTTTTCATATTTTATATGTAGGGGTTCTGAAATGTTTTTAATAAATCTCTTTGTCATAAGAACCTCATATTTTTTCCACTTTTTTTGGCATACTTGCTGGTTTCCTTGTTTTATTTACAACTTACTTTATTTACAACAAAGAAAGTAATACAACATATTGAACACTTATAAAGTTTTATACAGTATGGATTGTTATCCGTTTGCCGGTAGATGGGTATGAATATAACTTTTTTAACTATCAGGCATGCAAAATTGTGCACTAAATTATATAAAAACACTGAATTCAAATAAAGCAATCAATTAAACACTACTGAACTCCTGTGAAAAAAAAATGTAAAATTTCTTTATGAAATCTAAAACATGACATTTTTAATTTTTGATTCACATTAAAGGAAATAACATTTAATTTGGTGTCTTCTAGTTTATCTTTGGTAATCTCTTGGCAGCAGACAAATAATCTTCATTGCTGGAGAAGTTTGTGCACCAGAAAGCATCCGAGAGACAACAGTAGTAATCTAATCCCAACAGTTAATTTAATTTAATGGTTCCATCTTTATTATCGTATCAGGCACTGCTGCATGCACCACTGGTAATGATGATCATGTATAAAGAGGGAGTCTGAAGAAACCGTGATTTTTCCAGCACCCATTTATTCGGTTTATCTCTCTTCTTAAACCCATAAGTTTTGATCTTTTCTTTCTAATGCTATCGGGAAGGTAATGTTGAATAGAATAGTTGGTGATCTTGTGTTTCCTCGCTTGTCGAAGTACTTATAATTTTGCTTGAGGCTGGACGAATGAAACTAGCAGTACTCGATGTTCTTTTTACCCAACAGGAACGCGGACAGCTCATTTAACCAATATTGATGAATGAAGTCGGCAGCCGCCTTGGAAGGATTAACATAGTGCTGACCATTTAATTCTCATATCACAAATATTGCATCGCCTAGCTTTTTGATCTAGCTCTTCTGGCTGAATTTCATGTTTTGAAAAGACCTTAAGGACTGTTACTCCCTCTGAAAGATGATGATTTTCCAACTGAAGCTCTTCAAAATCTTTGCGAAAACTATTGATGTCACCCTTTGAAATGACAGATTTCAATTTGTTGTCCAACAACTGAGTCATAAGATCAGACGTGGCCTTCATCAGCTCGGATTTGGACATGGTGCCAATCTCGTTTCACAAGGTTGTTGGGAAAGGACATACAAGTACCTAGCCTGGATTTAGCTGCCAATCCATTTGTTTGAAGGGAAGTGGATGGCTTCGCTACAAAATATTCAATTTTGGGAGTCATGTATAAGTCTAAAACTTTTTCTCAATAGACACAAAATGAAAATCATCAGGGAACTGATTACTGGGCCGAGGGAAAGTAGGTAGGTAGACAATATGATTAAAGTGCTTGGTTACCCACTGCCCTGGCATCGGCGCAAATACTGGTTAGGAAGTATATGTTGTGATTAATCAGCTTCCTGACAATCTGTCCTTATCTCTTGGGTCCCAGTACACATGCTTTTGGTTTTATAGAAATATCAAAATAAAATTATCATAAACTGTCAGCACTTTAACAAAACACCACTGCAACTAAAATTAAACTATATAGGAAACCAACTGGTTACCAAAAATACTGCCTCTAAATTCATGAGTTTTACTAGAGAATTACGAACTTACTGTAGAGACGTTGAAAGAACGTCTTGTCTCAATGCAGGGTCAAGGCCAACTCCAGTTTATAACTACTATCCACTACTGGAATATCGAAGAGGAAAGGAATAAAAAGTAATTTTCGAGAGGTAGGATGCCCGACGTTCTTGAGATTTTTGTTAGCTATGGAATTGCCATACAGTGAAATTAATTATAAGGTTCTGAATGGAAATGTTTTCTGAAAGTGAATTACAATTTGGATTTGTTTCATAATTTTGTATTTGTATTCAGTGAGGTGTTCAAGTGAACACAAAATTTAGCTAATTTTGCAGTATTCATTCTTTTGTGTAAGATTTATTGCATCTTTTTTTTTAATCATGGGGTAACTGATTCCAATAATTCCAGGTTTGCTTGTCCATCCTTAAACAGATGCTATTCTGATGGCATTAAAACAAATTAGATTCATTAAATGTATAGAAGATAAATTGTACCTGTTGCAAAACCCATAACCACTGCTTAACTTGTATCCATTTACTTTTTAATTTTCCTAAAAGAAAAAACTCAGTTCCTCCTGTTTATGGTTTGTGATTGAAAGTTAGAATAGGGGTGAATTGGATCAGTATGGTAGTGTCCATGCCATCGGTGAATTCAGTATGTTAGCTTAAGTATATCTTTATATTTCTTTCTTATTTGCTACTCTACCATATTTATAAATTTTTATGATTTTTTTTCCAGAAATAGTTACAATACTATTGTTTTATTAAATTGTTTTGTTTTTGAAAGTAGGCCATGTTTTGTACATGTTGTTTTTGTTTATTATAGTTAACGTTTCTTATTTTACAAGTAATCTGTCATATAGATGCTTTCCTTATAAATGTTTGTTCTTGTCATGTCTCTGTAAAGGTTGTTAGGATCCATCTGGTGATTTCTATTTTCTTAATATATAAAGTACAAGTTTATAAATAAATTAAAAGTAAATTTGGTGGAGTATCTGTGAAATCATTGTTTTTCCTTGATTCTTACATGTTTAAAAAAAATTTTGGTACAAGTTTTCCTTCAATGGAATTAATCTTGATTTGATGTATGATATTTTAAGACTTTCATGAACATTTTATTATGCAATGAAAGTAATTGTACAATATTTGCAATTATTTATATTCTGATGCCTATTTATATGACTGGCTGTCTTCAATACAATACTGTAATAGTTATGTGGAGTTATTAATAAAGGTAAAGTAATTCCTGTTATACTTAACATTGTGAGGGGTGAAACTTTAAAATACTTTATTCATGAGCTGTACCAGGATTTGAACTGAGATCAGCTAGCACGGCAAATACGAGTGGAATGCTTAACCACTCAGCTACCGAGGTCCCTTAAGTAAATTAATTCCTGTCATACAGGAGGGTTATTGTCCAACTACCCTTTGGGATGTTGTAGGTGAGGGGTCTACCCCTTTAGAATATGTTTTTCATACTATTCTCAATAAAAATCCATGGGTTGTGCCACGATTCAATCCCAGAACAGCTAGCATGGCAAATGCGAGTCGGAACGCCCTTATCACTTGGCTAATGAAGTTCCCGAATTATTCATAATATTCAACAGTTAATATACTTATAATGATAAATTTAAAAACAAATATGTTTTTCCTTTAATGCATTTTATGTGTTTGTTTTTTGCTTTTCTTTAGTTACAACAAGGTTGTTAATTTTATATTTATTTAAAGGTGAGGGCTTTGGTGGTGGAAGCAGTAATGCTGTATCAAATAGTAGCACATCAACAGTAGTCAATTCACCCACCACTCACACACCTCCCTATGACTTAAGAAGAAAATCACCTTTACACAGCGAGTCATCAAGTACAGGACCCACGATAAGAAAACGACCACGTCGTATTTGCTCAGTGACAACAGACTGTGAGTAAACTTAAAAAAAAAAAATATACTGTTATATTTTGTCCAATGTATTATATAATAATATAAACCTTATTATTTTGTGGTATACTCAGAAGGTATATGGTTGGCAAATAAGTTCATTCATTAGGGGAACTCTGATATCAACCTGTGAAAGATTTATCTTTTCAATTAGCCAATTCTGGATTTTTTTTGTTAATCACACTGACCTGTTGCCTGTTAGCAATAGACAGTTGAGCCTGTACTGCCTGACAGTGTACATTGTAGTGAACACCTTTAAAACCTCAACCAGACAGAAAGTGTAATTTTCTTTTTGTGCAATCAGACTCTCAAAATTGCTTGCGGTAGTTCGCCTTTGTGTCTTGACCTTTTATGCACCTCTTTATCATATTTTTCCCTAATTATTTTTCATCACCAGTAATCATGTGTTTTAAAATTGGGCCATAGCCAAATTAGCCTCAGTCAACTTATGCATTACCCAAACATATTCCAGCATGTGCAAGTGGTAACCCTCCCCCCCGGGGACCGCGGTAGCCGAGTGGTTAGCATGAGAGACTCTCACGCCGCGGTCGTGGGTTCGATTCCCACCGTCGCCTCTGGCCCTTTTTTCCCGATAACCCCTAATTTGAACACACAAGAATTCGTACTATGGCTAATATGCAAGATCATAAGGCAAAAAAAAAAAAAAAAAAAAAAAAAAAAAAAAAAAAAAAAACCCTCCCCCCCAAAAACTGGCTTTTTTATGTTTAATACTGTCATAATTTCTCACACTGTTTGTGATAGTTTTTTTTGGCGATTATGTCTTTTACAATGCTCAAACCTCGAATGGGCGGCTGGCCCAGGGCAAATCACACATTTGAAATGTCCAGACAAAAATTTGGTAAGCCACTTCTGTTCTGTTCTGTTAAGGTACCTTCCCCATATACTCATTATTTTATTTTATTTATTTGTTTTTTATAGGCCTCCACAGCTTGTTTATCTTTTCTAACATAAAAAAAGCAAAATATGCATTTCCTCCCATCATGAAAACATCATTACACAAAAGTGACTGAAGTATTCCAAATGAAATCTTAATAAAATTGTTTATGAAATGTTGCCTTTTAGCTGTGATATAGGGTTAGACGGTAGCGCTATAACTTTTAGTAGTGAAAAACTCAATGAACTTATTTGCCAATCCAATATCTGAATTATGAGAGTAAAACTCTTTTATTTGAACTTAATTGTAATTCTTTCCTTTTTAACTGTGTTCCTACTCACAGTAAGTTGTTTTCTGATTATCCGGATTTCGAGCTTATAAGCTCATCGTCAGGTTGAAGGAGTTCTACAACCACATCTCTCGACAGCTATCTTTTTAAAAAGGATTGAACATCGCACTCACTCTACCATTCATCATTTCTATTAATTGTAATTGTCCTGTCATATTTTAGTATACACACCACCAGCAGCACATTACCTCCAGTACGAGTTGCCGGATGAGGTTATTTTGACCATATTCAGCTATTTACTAGAGCGTGATCTCTGCAGACTTTCTCAGGTGTGCAAACGGTTCCGCACAATCGCAAACGATAATGGGTTGTGGTAAGTGGTTTAAAGTTCAATAAATAACTAAATATCCATGATTTTAAATTGTATTATTGCCAATAGGAAAAGGTTATATCACAGCGTATTTGAATACGATGTGCCTCTCTTTAATCCTGAACCTTGCAAATTCGAATTCATTCCTTGTAACGAATGTGAATATGACAATCCTTGGAAAGAAAGTTTTCGGCAGTTATACAGAGGTATTCACGTTAGACCCGGACTCGGTTCCCGCTACAGAGCAAGAGGAAGGTCAATTTCGCACTTTGAATCTGTTCAGACAGCCTTAGATCATGCAGATGATAATCAGACATTAGGAGTACCAGGAATTGTTTTTGTACATGCAGGCATATATAAGGGAGAATTCCTCGTTATAGATTCCGATGTTGCATTAATTGGTATGTTTTGCAATGTTTTTTTTTCTATTTACACAAGAGAAAGATTTAATATTTATTGTTACAATTTATTCAATAGGAGCAGCCCCAGGAAATGTCGCAGAATCTGTCATTCTAGAACGTCAAACGGAATCAACAATAATGTTTGTCGAAGGAGCTAAAAATGCTTACGCTGGTCATCTCACATTGAAATTCACACCAGAGGTGACATCAACAGTATCACATCAAAAACATTATTGTTTAGAAGTCGGTGAGACGTGTACCCCTACTATTGACCATTGTATCATACGTAGCACATCAGTCGGTAAGAATATGTTTATTCAACTCAAACTTTTTTAGTCAAGGGAATCGTTTTAATGTTTAAAACATTTTTCAGTTGGGGCTGCTGTATGTGTAAGTGGTACTGGAGCTAATCCTTTTATTAGACACTGTGATATAAGTGATTGCGAGAATGTCGGATTGTATGTAACAGACTATGCTCATGGCACATATGAAGACAATGAAATTTCAAGGAATGCATTAGCCGGAATTTGGGTTAAGAATTATGCCAATCCTATAATGCGTCGCAATCATATACATCATGGACGAGATGTGGGCATTTTTACGTTTGAAAATGGGCTGGTGAGTGGTTATACTTTAATTAAAATAGTGTTAGAAATATATATATTTTTTTTGTAGGGCTTTTTTGAAGCTAATGACATTCATAACAACCGAATAGCCGGATTTGAAGTAAAAGCTGGTGCAAACCCCACAGTGGTGCACTGTGAAATACACCATGGGCAGACAGGGGGGATATATGTACATGAAAATGGACTAGGACAATTTATAGATAACAGAATCCACTCGAATAATTTTGCCGGAGTTTGGATAACTTCCAACAGCAACCCAACAATAAGACGAAATGAAATTTACAATGGGCAACAAGGGGGTGTGTATATTTTTGGAGAAGGTAGAGGCTTAATAGAACACAACAATATATACGGTAAGAAATTTAAACCCCTTTTGTATTTAAACCTCCTATTTCTCTACTCTGCATTAACAACCAACCAATTTCCTTTTATCCATCTGTCAGACACCTAGGGATCGTTCTTGATTAAACTATCCTGGAATCCTCAGATTTCCCAAATTTCCCATCACTGCTCCACTCTCGGCCAATTCCGTCATGCAATCTCTTTCCAGTCAGCACCCGCAAACTCCTGGTTCTATTTAGGTTTACACTACGATGAACTCACCATTGAGTTTCTTAACAGACTCAAGAGAATCATGAATTGCTTTGTTTGGTTCATTTTTAGCATCCCAAAGAGATCTCATGTGTCTAATAAGTATCAGGTTTATTCCATCATATACTACAAATCAGTTGCCAACCAATCAGTGATTTATGACTGTGCATGATTGAACATTGAGTGATCACAGATTCTTAACTCTGATGGAATGCTTCTTTCCAGTCTTAGACTAAGATAGGTTGGAAATATTGAAAAGTTTGAAATTGGAAATAGACTTTTTGTTGATATATGTTTATGCATTGTGTCTATTATTGTGTAATAAATGCAGATTCCTGGCGAACAGCCAAATCTGGGTTCAGCTGGCCTACCTACATTTTAAACATTTGAACATTTGAAAAATTGTTTGTAGCCCTAATAACGAATTTCACGTAGATAACTATCATTAAGATTCGCCATAACTATTAGTTCTATTCAAAATTATTAAAAATGCTATCGAACATACCTCACTTCTAGAATTTATAAATTTTTTGTTCCTCCTAGACCACACAGAACTTCTTTTATTTGAATGTCATTCAACTAAATATGGGGAATTCTTGATGTAATAATGAACAGGCCATTCAATTCCCTAAACTGCATTTTTTATCATCATTTATGATTTTGTTAAAAAACTTCACTTGTAAAATTATTTAATTTTTTAATGCGTTTTTATTTAATATAATTTTTTAACACTTGAAAAATACATTTTTATTTACGGAAATTTAAAAATGTATGTTATGTCAAATAAATTAAAGGTTTATTTTCTATTTTATTAACTTGCTATATTCTTCCCTTTTACACATTTTTTTTTGTGTGGTGATTAGTGACCGTTAATCGATAATTATTCAGAAATCGTGAGATGGGGTCTGGTGTGATGTAGGTTTTAGAAAAACATTTTCTTTATTGTGCCGTTTCGATCTTTATTGAGATAATCTTCAGGCCTCAATAAAGATTGAAACGTTGGCACGATATAGAAAATGTTTTTCTGAAACCTACATCACACCAGATCGCATCTCACGATTTCTGAATAATTTACACATTTTTTAAACTAATATGTGTAAATAAATTTGTTAAAAAAAATGTATACCTGTTTTCTATTTTAGATGTTTTAATGTTGGTATTTGTTCAAAAAATAAATACATATTTGCTTATTTACATTTTATTTAACATATAAATCTGGTCCCTAGTTGATAAGAACTTTGAATTTTACAAGAGTGAAAGCACTGGGAAATATCTGCGCATATCTCTGACTGCCAATCCTTAGTAAAATCCTTGTACTCTTTTGACATACCCCTGGGCTGAAAATGTGATGGAATGGTCGAATGACAATTTGAGTTTTGGTTTGGGGTGTGATGGAGTGCCAAAACTCAAATGCGCATGCGACCACCACTGTGCTGATTGTTTGGACGCGTGATGGAACAAACCTATCATAGTTTGAAAGGGCTGTACCCCTCTTATTACAGGCTCTTCCTTGGCTCCTTCCTCTGTCTATCAATTTTTTCCCATTCCCTATATTTATAATTTGTTAACAGATGTCTTCTGTACACACTCGCCATTCATTCTCACTCTTCTTATCTCTAACCTCCTCCATACAAATCCACTGCTTTTAGTCACTCCTACAACCTCTGAAATAAATAAATAATAAAATAAATTTTTTCTCTTGTTAAAATGCACATCATTTAAAAATTTATTCTAGGCAATGCACTAGCTGGAATTCAAATTAGAACGAATAGCGATCCTATTGTCAGGCACAACAAAATCCATCATGGGCAACATGGTGGCATTTATGTTCATGAAAAAGGTCAAGGGCTTATTGAAGAGAATGAAGTTTATGCAAATACTTTAGCCGGCGTTTGGATTACAACAGGCTCTACCCCTGTATTAAGACGAAATCGTATTCACTCTGGAAAACAAGTCGGTGTTTATTTTTATGACAATGGCCATGGCAAACTGGAAGACAATGATATATTTAACCACTTATACTCAGGAGTGCAGATAAGGTTAGTGGCTTGATGCTTAATGTAAATAGAATCTAAGTACAACAACATTAAATTTAATTTCTTTTTTAGAACTGGAAGTAATCCAATTATTAGAGGAAATAAAATATGGGGTGGACAGAATGGTGGTGTTCTAGTTTACAATGGTGGTCTAGGCCTATTAGAACAAAATGAAATTTTTGATAATGCCATGGCTGGAGTTTGGATTAAAACAGATTCAAATCCAACGTTAAAAAGAAACAAGATATTTGATGGACGGGATGGAGGAATTTGTATTTTTAATGGTGGAAAAGGTTCGTTTAATTTTACATATATTACTGTATATTTCATAAGAAATTCAGTGTGTATGAGTCATGCCCTCTGGGGATGATAATCCTTGTGGTTATAGACTCTAAAGGACAGATTCTCAGTGGATCCTTTTGTCATGCTCTTGTCAGTGAGACAGAATGGCTGGATTTTAAGTAAAGTTTCAACTGGCTTAATTTTAATATTTTTGCTTTTTATATTTATATAATTTGTTTTTGGTGTATAAATACATTTTTGGGTCTTAATTTTCTTCCTGCCCACTCATCTGCCTTTCTATTTCAATTTTATCTTGTTGGTTCTTCTGTTCTTCTCTACGAATGTATGTCCTTTTTTTGTCTCTTCTTTGGTTGTTTTCTAATTTTGTTTTAATTTAAATTTTTTTAAAGAAATTTCAACTACTTTATTTTTGTTTTTATTTTATTATGAATTTTTGGGTTCTAATTTTCATCAGGTCCATTCAACAGGCCTTTAGCCATCTATGTTATTTTACCTTTTAGGTTTCTTCTGTTCCTCTGCAATATATATCGTTTTTTATTTCTCATCTCCCCCTCTCTCTCTCTCTTTTTTTATTATTATTATAATTTTTAAATGAAATTTCAACTAGTTTATTTTTCATTTTTTGATGGTGTCATCCTGATTTTGTGGAACTCCATAATAAGATGATGGGTAGGAAATAAATTGTCTTTTCCACAATAGGCATTTATTTCATCAGACATGTTTCGGCTAATATAGAACATCTTCAGTGACTTTTTTAAAATATGTAAAGTGGTTTGATAGTTTTTTACGTTGTTATAAGTTCAAAAGTGGATGTGCGGAAGACTTGGTGAATACTACTGGACTACTCTTATATACTATACTTTCTGTTGTTTTTTTATGTTGTGTATCCTTTTATTATTTCTTGCCTCTTCTTTGATTGTTTCTTAGTCCTCCTCCCATCTCTGATTATTTATACACTTTTCTTTTTAGTTAGTACTTTGAAAATGTCTGTTTTCCTTTTTTATATTGACACACTGAACGTAATTTAATTTGCACAATAAATGTTGTGAAGCACTAGAAAAATATAAAATTTACTTAGTTTAGTGGAAAATAGCAAATGACAATCCACATACCTTTCTTTAATAATTTCCTGCTTTTTTTTTCTACTTTACTAAGGTTAATAAAATAATATAATTTTTAATTCGTTTGCCACGTCCACCACAAATAAGCTTGAATGTGTGCTTCAATATTAAACAGGAAATATAATTTAAAGATTATAGATGTATTATAAAACAAAAACCGTCTCAAAATAGGACAGCATTCAGAATACAGTTCAAAAAATACAGTAATAAAAATGCGTCCAACTTCTAGACAACCACTGTGATCCGGCCCTCTGATGCCAAAAATGCAATGAAAAACATGATTAAAAGGAAGTGGCAGCATCGGTGTGCCGGATCAGCAGAGAAGCTGCTACGTATTACGAGCACAGTCGATGAGTGGCTCTTAGAAGACCTGAAACTCAAATTGAAATGATAAGTTTTTAACGATTGAATAATGTTTCCAGGTATTTTAGAGGAAAATGACATATTTAGAAATGCCCAAGCTGGGGTGTTAATTTCTACACAAAGTCACCCGATATTACGCCGTAATAGAATATTCGACGGGTTAGCAGCAGGAGTCGAAATCACAAACAATGCGACAGCAACGCTTGAAAACAACCAAATCTTTAACAATCGCTTCGGCGGGCTGTGTCTTGCCAGCGGGGTTCAACCAATTGTGCGCTGTAAGTTTTCTCCTTTTCATATTTTATACATTTTGTTATACATGTTTAATATTTTGTTACGATCATAAATATAAATATCTCTTTACAAATATACTCCTGAAATGTCAAGGTAAGTGATAATTATAAATTAAAAAAATATTATTTAGCAATTTTTGTGTGTATTATATTAAGATAAAATGGATTAACAGATATACTAAAAGTGTTGTATTAGGACCTGCTTTTATTTAATAGACACCAAGTCCCTGCTCAGTTTTTGTTTTGCTTCGGTCTAGCTTTGAAATGTAATTTTATATAGAAATTTTAGAATCTGTGACATAAATGATTTGTAATTACATAATTATAAGCTGTGGAAGCTTTCCCCCCTCAAAGTAAGCGAAAATAAATCTATCACAATAAAATTTAATAAGGACTTGGAAGTAAGCACAGTTCTCTCTATGTTACTTAGCTTGTGGTATATGAGTTTATTTATTATTTAATAAAAATAATTTTTTTAATTGAATGTTTATTTGTAATGTAATCTTTGTTTTGCAGGCAACAAAATATTCAGCAATCAAGATGCTGTGGAAAAGGCCGTGAGGAACGGGCAGTGCCTGTACAAAATATCCAGTTATACATCCTTCCCGATGCACGATTTCTACAGATGTCAGACGTGCAACACTACCGATCGTAATGCCATATGTGTCAACTGCATAAAAACATGTCATTCCGGTCATGAAGTGGAATTTATTCGTCATGACAGGTAATTGTGATATGTTTGTTCATTGTGCAAAATTTAAATTTACATATTGTCTGAAATTGTCTCTTTGGAACCTTTATACAAACAAGATTTATCTCGATCAGCATTAATTTATATATAAAAACAAGAATAAGGTGAATTTGAAAGATAGAAAAACACTTAGTCCTTCATCAACCTTTTAGGGAATCACTTTTATCAGGGCTTTGAAATTAAGGAATTGGAACTAAAGATTTACACGGTTATCAAACATAAACATCTAGCTCCAACAATTTTAATTCAACTTTTTTTTGTGATACTTGGTCAAAATATATTTGACTCATTCTTGAACATTGTTGCCAAAGGGCCCAAGGTGCCGATATTTTTTAAAATATGGCTTTCTGTTTGTGATGTGTGTGTATTTCAAGGTTATATATAGCAGCCGAATCATTTTTTTAAGTAGAATGTAAAAAAAAAAAAAAATAGTATGTAACATTCTATTAAATGAGATCAGATTTGTGGAAAGTTGCTAAAATCAAAAAATGCTTCCAGTAAAGTAGGCCAAAAAACATATTTGTTGAAAAAACAATTCCAACTTGTTTTAAGCACCTTTTAAAACCTTTTGTGATGGGCAGTTTTTGTTTCTCTGATGTTGTGTTCCACTTAAAAATTACTAACTCCTCCGGACTTTATCCAAATCTAATGTTACAACCATTAGAAACTTAAATTTCTCTTCTTTTGGCTTATTAGGTATAAGGTGAGATTTTGTCATTATAAGTGAAAAAAGTAAGGATGAAATCAAGAAAAACTCCAAGGTTATGGAAGCCCGGTTTATGCCAATGTAGGTTCTAGGGGTGTAAACCTCTCAATTTTTCATATGGATCAGTGGAGTTGTTTCAAAGTTATCACTGTTAACACAATTTAAAAAAAAAGAAGAAAAAAGCAGGCTTTTGTAAGGCGAAAAGTTGGAGGTTTTTTTCGAATTTCCCCAAAATATATATTCCTGGGTTTTTTTAGGGTGCAGAAAACAAATATCAATTTTATTGGGAAAGTGAAAAATTAATGCAGGTTCACGTTATCGTGAAGAAGAATCGGCTTCTTATGGTTTATCAATACTAGACAAAGACATTGCAGTTTCCTTTGCATTTTGTCAATTTCTTGGCAATATTTCTCTGCTGTGATAGTTTCACTATAATTCAGGATAGTGAACACCCCCAGCAGTACACCACCAAATAGTCACCATAACCTTTTTTGGGTGCAGATTTGGTTTTGGGAAGTGTTTTGGTTCTTCATCCTTGTCCACCCACTGACCTGTACGCTTCCTGTTATCGTACAGAATCCATTTCTCATTGCACATGATGATTTGATCGAGAAATGGATCATTTTGGTAGCAGAAAAGAAGATATGTGTAAATTTAAAGTATTGATTTCTTTGGGCTTCAGTTAGTTCATGTGGTACCCACTTGTCGAGCTTTTTTACTTTACCAATTTGCACGAGATGGCTAACAGTGGTTGAGTGGTCAACACTAAGCTCTTCCGCAATTTCCTGGGTTGTCTTGCTCGAATTTTCTTGACTTAGCGCTTAGAGTTAGTCATTGTCCACAACGGAAGCCCTACCATGCGATCTTCGCTGTCTTAGAGTTCGAAATCTCCAAGACGAAATTTTTTTGGCAATCTCTTCCTGATTTTTCTCACTTATAATCACATAAAATCTAAACATTGTTGACACAATCTAAAAATAGAGAAATTCAGCTTCCCAACAGTTATAATAAATTTATATCTAAGGGCTTTCAAGGGTTCTTCTGTATTGCTTTTTCAAAAATATATTTTTTTGCCTACTCTATTAGAATGTCTTTGTTTTTGTAACTTTTTATATATTTAATCTAATTTAATATGATCCTGCATATTATTCTTTTACCTTATGCAAAAAAAAGTAGAAGAAGAAAAAGAAAGACCGATATATAATCACCTTGAAATACACCCAGAACAAAGGCAGAAATCCATATTAAAAAATTTCTATTACTTATTTCCTAAGGCCCATTGGCAAGAATGTGGACACTGTCAAATATTGTTTGATGTATATAATTAAAATAATAATAATTAATATAATAATATTATTAAAATAATTGTTAATTTGTCTATAGGTTCTTCTGTGATTGTGGCGCGGGCACATTATCTAATCACTGCCAACTACAGGGTGAGCCTACTCAAGATACAGATACGTTGTACGACTCGGCAGCACCGATGGAATCACACACACTGATGGTGAATTAAACGTTAGATTATATAAAAGAGAAGTTGCATCAAGCATAATTTATTAGTTACATTTTTTAATTTAATTTTTAAGTTTGAGCCATTTTGACTGATTTTTGTTATACACGAGGCTTCAAATAAGTAATCTCCAAGTTCTCTAGAAGTCAAGTCTGTAAGGGGAATTATTGATCAAATTTGGATCTTTTTGTTTATCCAAGGTCTGTTAACAACAGTTTTTATTATGTGAATTGGTTAGGATTGAGTGAGTACTCAAAAATGCATTTTTTTGGTAATCTTAATTTTATGTGTATACTTTTCAGTAATAGTTGTGGAATTTATGAGAATCCAAGTTGTACTAACGTGTTTCATGAGGGTGCAATATATTATTTTTATTTTTTATATAGAATATTTTAACGTCTAAAGTCGCTTTGCTACACCTGTTTGATTTAGCATGTATACGTTCTGTGTCCGATCATATTTTGTGTGTACTATTGGATTGCCTTTAGCAATTTTATTAATGCATTGGTATTTCTGCTTGAAGTTTTATCCCATACATTTTAATCGTATTGATACATATTTTATATTTTTAATGACTAAACCTTGACCTCTTTTACTATTTCACTCTAGCTATTCAGGTATTAATAAAATCATCTTTTTTTTTTTTTTAACCATTAAACAATATATATTTTGTTTACTTGTTGAACGAGGTCAGTAGCTGTCAGAGAGATTGGGTTGTCTATCCAAATATTTTCGTAGTGCACACAAAAACGTAATATTCATTTAATTTTAAACTTAATAGTTGTGTTGTGATGAAAGTACTGAGGAGCCTGCAAATAATTGTTGGCCGATTGTGAAATGTACTTCTTTTAATAGTTAGGACTTTCCTGATTGAATTTTTTTTTTTAAATTGGAAATTTTATAAGTCAAACATCATTACATGCCATGCTTAACTGTTAATATTTAGTTTCTATAATTTTTTTTTTCAATACTACCTCATCTCATTAATAAATCAGATAATAAAACTGTTAATTCTTTGCGCTTGGTATTCCACAGTATTGTATACATACGCCAAGGCTTGGAGTACTTTTTTCTTTCTTTTTTTTTTTGAATTGGGAATTTTATAAGTCAAACATCGTTGCATGCCTTGTTTACCTGTTTAACATTTTGTTTCTATAATTTTTTTTTAATGCTACCTCAACTCATTAATAAATCAGATGTTGAAGCTGTTCTGGTGTCAATTTGTAGCAGTGAAATTAATTCTTTGCGCTTGGTTTATATTCCACAATAGTGTTATATGCCAAGGCTTGTGGTATTTTTTGTATTACAATTTTTTAACGAATCAAACTGATAACATCTCTATTAAAACTGCTTGGTTGTACGACTTAAGCACTGTAATCATTAAACAGATCTTGGAAATATTTTTCACCTTAGTGTATAAATATATTTTTAAATGTCTACAGGTTAGTAGTACATGGCTAAAATATCACGGATTTTTTTATTTGACTTGAGATTTTTTTTTTAACTACTTCACTGGATGAAATGTCCTTTCATTGTTTTTTCAATGTACCTTTTTTATAAACTAATATCTCTGTCTACTTTGAAATGGTTATAAAATAAGAAAAAGGTAATGATTATAATAAACTAATTTAACCATTCCTTTTAGGGATATTTTTATTTTTTATATATAATACTAGGACGTTTTAGTTGACTACAGTGTAGTTATCATTGGCATATTGATTACATTTATTATTTAGGAATGTTTATTACTTTTGTATAATCAATTAATCTGACGAGGCTTTGTGTATATGATTGTCAGCACGCTCTAGTCATAAAAAAGTGAATTTAAACAATTCGTAAAGGTTTTTCATTCTCTTCTTTTTGTCTCTCTGTTAACATATACACTAATTGTCCAAGAATATATATATATATTTTAAAATAGACTGAGGCAACGTTTATTTTTTTTAATACTCTATTTCATGTGAAATTGACTTAAAAATTAGCATTTGTGATTATTTCAATGACTGCAATTCTAGATTATTTTTTGTTATTATGTCAAATATTTACAAAAGCCATATTTCTCAATTTGGTTTTGATTTTTTTAAATTCTAAAATTTAAAAAAAATTATTACGTGTTTTCATTTTAATATTTGTATTCAATATTTGTTTTCTTTTTTTTTGTTGATTGATCTTTTTGTTGTAAAACTACGTTTTTTGTTTAATTTTTATTAACACTAATTTTTTACCTTTTATTTGTACATTACATCGATAATGGGTGAATATTAAGTAGTGCCACTTCAGATCATGTCTATTCGAGCCTTTTATAGAGTACCAGTATCAGACATATTGGGAAATTTTCAGTTCTACAATTGAACAGTACTGGCTCAATTTTTAATACTAAGTTAATGTAATGTTCCATAGATGTAAGGTTCATAGGTTGTTAATCTTTTAAGAGGATTACTTATTGCTGAATGCCTTGTGTTGAATTACATTGTTTTTGTTAATCAAATTTTATTCGCTTTTCTTCATCCTCCCAACACTATATAATAAAAATAAGTCGTATGTAGAAACGCCATTTTTTATACATTGTAATTGCTTCTTTTTAAGAAAGTGTATGTCGTTTCTTTTAAACTGTAATAATAAAAATAAAAAAAATGAAAAAAAAAAAATAGTAACATCATCACTTGAAACTTTGCATGAACATGTGTTTTTGTGTCTCTAAAATGAGTATGTGTGTACATGTAAAGTAAATATTTGTTATTTACATTATATTTCATTAAAAAACATAATAGTTAAGTACAAAATGAAATTTTGGAAATTTTTTCTTTTAATAATTTTGACTTTGTTTTAAATCATTGCATTACACAGTTAAAAAAAAGTTTAAAATGTTTTTATTACATGTAAAGTGTATTTATTTTATCTTTCCAAAAACACATTTGTAATTGAATTTCCCCCTTTTAATTTCCTACCTTAGTTAACTTAAAAAGTCATCAAAAATTTCTGTTTTTAACTCTTAAGTTAATTTTTATAGAATTCATTTCTATAATAGAACGTTAAAGTTAGTAGTTAGATATTTACACATGTAGTATTAGGCGATGTTTCAATATTATATACTCTTTAATTTGGAAAAAACCCAACCAATTAGTATTCTAAGCTTCACAATTTCTATCTCTTTAATTTGTAAGGATTTCGTATAATTTTGAAAGCGTAATTTCACTGATAGTCAAAGGAGCAGAGTGAGATGCCTAATTAATATACCTTATACTGTGTTCAAAAATCTTTTTTTTTTCTTCCTTTTCGTTTAAATTGTAAATAAAAAACAAATATTGTAAAACAAAGTTTCAGTGAAATGTAAATTTATCTTAGTATTGAATATTGTTGATTTGTCTCCATGTTTTTTGTCTTTCACTTCAGTTTTTTTAAAAATTAGATATAATTAACCAAGATGTATGCATAGAAATTGATGATTTTGTTTATAGAAATGTAAAATTGAGTTTATTGTATAGTCTGCATTTATAACAACTATTTGAAATTAAACTTGCCCTTAGGTGCCCTTTTCCTACCAATTAAAGTTATCAATTCTGCATTTTAAAATATCACACACTGGAAACTTTAACGTGTTTATAATTTTTAATGAGCTAAATAGCTTTGGGAAATGTGGAAAGAACTACTCGTAAGTTTATTAATGCTTAATATTTTCTCTGAGGGCATCTAAGAGATTTCTGTACAAATTGTAAGATATAATTTATATATAAATCATTAATCTATATAGTGTATTTTTATGAGATTGGTGTATAGTATTTAGAAACGATTTCTACATTTATTATCCCTCCCCTCCCAAAAACCCTCTTTTTCGTATTGTGTATTATGTACATAGGAGTTCCCATATTTTAAGGAGGAAAGCCCTAATTAAAAGACTAAATTAGAAATTGCTGTGGGTTGTCTCAAATTAGACAATAAATCAAATAATTTACTAAAAAAAAAAATTTTTTTTGTAATTGTGGTGTTTGTAAATTGTTTGATCGGCAAAAGAGACGACACAGTAATGCATTATTACAATAATTTGACTGTAATGTTAAAACTGGAATAGTAAACTATAACTTCTAGTAGAATGCACTATTACTAATTTGTTCATACATAAGTAATATTTTCTGTATATATTATTATATTTACTCCTTTTATCGTAAAAATGTTGTGGAAAATACAGATATATATTGTTATTCCACTGGTAAATTCTTCCATGTTGAAATGTATATACAATTCTTGTACATTAAGAAATATAATTTACATCATTTTTAAGTATTATGTGTTGCCTAGTTGTGTAATAAATTATTTGAAAAATCAACCTCAACTTGATTAATAACTTGAAAGTAGTGTACTTGGACTATATAACATTATTATTGTGAATACAAAGTTTAAAAGGCTTTGGATTACTGAAGTTTTGATACAATTTTTCATTTGAAAACGCCTTTTAGGCTGTCACCCCATGTGCCATATGTGATAAAATTAAGAAGACTTGTTACGCATTAATATTTATTTCTTGTAAATAAGAATGCTAGATAACACTTTGAATGTAAATGTTTGCTGAAGCAATTGGTATGACTCTGTATTCTCTGATGTTATGATTACATTGCTTTTTACCATGTGATGTTGAACTGTTTTCTCCCCAATCGTTGCAATTTATTATATAGCTAAAGATTAAAAAACTACATAAATCGCAAGTGATTGTAAGTCTGATGGAATATTTACAATAAACTAATATTAATACAAATTTAAAGAAAATATTTTGTTCTAGGGCAGTCATTGCAACTGGGAGCACTTTTTCCTTCCGAATTATCGGAGGTAGGGAAGGCTTGTGTTCATGCGGGAAGTCGAAAAAATTGTCCTCCAAAATCAAAATTTCCTCTTGCATTTTTCGTTTCAAACCTTTCTGAACAAATTTGGTTCCTTGCTTTTGCTTTTAACCACCAAAACTGTGAAACCGTGAGACCAATTTGATGAAGTTCATAGGGATTGTGCAGGTTGGTTTCTAGATGGTCCCTTATGAATTTCATCGCAATTGTATCAACAGTTCGCATACAATCGTGTGTACAGCTATATCTCTCAAATCATTTGTAGGATTCTTATCCAATTTTCAGAGGTTATGCTGGTTGCTTTATAGACGATCCCCTATGAGTCTTCCTTTTTGGGAATCTTATCTTTGCTTGATTTGTACTAAATACTTTTGTACAGTACATCTTTTTCAAGCTCCAGAGCCGTTGGTCAAGGATTTTACCCAGTTTTTTATATCGAGTTAAAGGTTTATCTTTCATAGTGAAATATTTATGATAAATATTAATTGTAGTAAATTTAAGAAAATTAGAAGGTCAGGGAGTTGGGAGGAGTGTTTTCTCAAGCTCCAGCTTAAGGACACCCCATTTCACCTAGTTTTGGTTCTAGCTTCAACATCAGCATAATCATAGGTGTACCTAGTTGTGGTTCTGTGGGTGAGTTGGCTGGCATTTCTTTGGCTATTGGGTTAACCTGTTCATTTCTTTATATACATTCATATTTTTGAACACAGCTTAAGGCAACTTTGTGTTTTCCTAAGGTCTTTAGGCAAATTAGGCATACCCAGACTAGTTAGGAGCTAAAAGTTTTGTAGCTGCCAGACTGTCTGAAAGTATGTAAATCCACACACCTTTCATTTTCTTTTTTATCTCCTGTCCATTAAGTTAGATTGAATGGGCCTCAGCTTGGGAGACAAATTTGGCCACTCGTAGGTTTGTGTGTGTGTGTAGATTTTTTAGATTCAACAGTTTGTTTTGTGTGAACGTATACAATGTTTTTGGGCTTACTACTCTTGTGGTGTATAACCAATACACCACCTGCCCAGTTTTTGTTTCATAACCTCTGGCCAATACTTAGTGTCTTGGCCTTATGTAGTATGTTGTACATATGACTTCTCTACTTGAGCTGTTGGTCAAGGTTTTACCCAGTTTCTTTGGATAAAGTTACAGCTTTTTCTATCAAAGTGGAATATTTACGTTTGTAAGTTATGGATCAATAGCATAGTGATAACAGTCATGTTTTCACTAATTTTGTCCTCTTTCAGGAAGCTATCAGTAATCTTGAATATTTTTGCTTTATTCATTACATGTTCAGTGAGAGCCATGTTGTGGCTCAGTGCCTAATTATCGTTTACATCCTGGAAACCACTGCTAGTAACAACTGTTTCATTGCAGAGATGGAAGTTTTTCAACCAGTCCTTTTTTTTGTGTATGTAATAGGTACTTGTGTGAATGAGAGCACCAAATCCTTGTCGAAGGTTGGAATACTTAGAAGCTGTGCTATTTCTATTCTATTTTATCAGAAATCCCAGAAAAAAGAAAAATAAGCTTATTTCATTACTGTATCTAACCCAACACCCTAACCTTACCTAATCTGTACATCTTGTATATATCAAAAAAGTTTTGATCTTTCTTCTTGTACAATTAGGAAAATTTCTTGTTTGAAAGCAAATTTGCACAAATCTGAGTTTTTCCATTTCCAATCTATCCACGCTGTCTTGGTTTTGTCAGATTCGTTTGGGCATTTCACTATCTTTAGCGTGGGTTCATGTGTTATTTTTGACTTTGTATTTACAAAAGGGCACAATTGACAAAATACAATGAATTTGACTGGAAAAAAAACTCCACGATAATATACCAGGACAGTAGGAAACGACCAACTAAGGGGTGCAATGGTGACTTGCAGTAGCAGGTCAACAATTGAAATTAAAATTATAACTTGATCATCCCATGATGATGAGGATACGAGGAAGCAGAGCTTGATATTCCTCAAACACTACAGCATTTAGCTTTTTCCTAGTTTCTTCGTTCAGTTCAATTGACTCAATCCATCTTTAAAGTCATAGATTTTTATTGACCATCTTGGTACCCTAGGTATTGTACTGGTAGTCTCTTCCTCCTCATTGCATAACCTACAAATAGGGTCATCGTTGGGTATACTCATGTTGTGTTTTCTCAGACCCCAGTGACTGGTATATAGCTCTACCACTACTCTAAGTTTTACGTTGTATTGCTGTACTATAACAATATATACTGTTTGGCAGTTTTAGAGAAGGTTCTGTGCCTAGCATCTCTAGAGTTTGTCCAGTTCTACTTTTGCTTTATGTGGACCCATTCTGAGAAAGGACCATATTGATATCTGAACTATATACTCTGGGACTATAATTGTCTTTTAGAAACTCCTCTGGCCAGTCTGATTGTTTGTTGCCCAAAATTCTTTTGTGCCCTATCACCCATGATATTGTTAGGTTATATTTTTGGAGGCTTATGACGAATTTACTGACTATTTTGGATTTTTACATCCTAATGCTTTAAGGGCTGTCTGATATTATGAGGATTTTTATTCAGTTAGACCTCTTTTAAGATTTTATTTGGCACAAGTGTTCCAAATCATTTGGTTCAGATCAACCACAAAAGAGAGTAGCAAAGATTGACCATCAACGTAACATATCACAATGAAAAAAGTGAAGATCCTTAAAGAGGAACTGCAAGACTGTAGTACAATTTTGTAGCAAATTGTGCAAATGTTATATAGTTGAAACTATTTATTAAATATTAAAAAATAAATTATCCCAGGTTTCATTATTTTATAAGTTTTTCCAGCCAAAGAAGAGCCATTTGACTGGAAAAACTTATAAAATAATGAAGCCTGTGATAATTGAATGTTCAAAGCCAGACATTAAATAACATGAACAATTTAAAAAAAAATCATTACACAAGTACATACTTGGAATTTATTAATCACTCATTACATAATTGATTTTCTTTTAAAATAGATTTTTGCTTGCTAGTGATTTTTAACATTTGGTAATTTGAACTTTTCTTGATGGCACGTGTATTCTTGAGATGGACATGAGCTTGTTATTGTCTTGAGGGATCTAGTTGTAATAAATTTCTGGCACAAGTCAATATGATTCCATTCCAGATGTTGGAAATGTTATGCGGTTCATTCTCATAATCCTGAAAAATTAAAGTATTTAATAAATAAAATTATCTACCGGTGTAGTAAATATGTCAGATGTAGAGCAGAGAATGTAATTAAAATAAACAATACCTCATCAATATTCTTGGAGGGTTTTGAAGGTTCTACTATTTGTCTGTCTCTTTGCCCCTTTAGGTTGAGCGTTTCTGATATTTTTTCTACTAATTTCTTAGAATTTCCAGGATGTGACCAAAAACCGGCATCATATGTTATTTTCAACATGACCGCCAATGCCATAATTTTAACGGTGAAACAGGCTTTTCTGAAAAACATGGACCGACGGCTCAGAGGCTGTTCTCTTAGTGGGCAGTCGCAGAGTTTGGGGAAGCATGAACGGTTCATTTGTCTGTACTCGCACAATTTTATTCCCCTACCTCCTGGAGGGACTGGAAGACACTTCATGATTTTTTTGTCAGCTTTAACAGGCTCATAAACTAGCACCTTTTGCACTTTCATCTTCATGTTCCTTACAACTGGTGTCGATTTTGAAGACATGGTGTTTTTTATGTAAATAACCTTGAGTTAAATTTTGATTGTGTGCAGTCAACAGAAATTTATAGTGTAAGTAATTATTTGTGAAACCGTGACAACAAGTTTTAAACTTGAATTATATGATATAATTTTTATTTATTTATCACCTGATGAGGAAAGTAAGACTGCAGAAAAAATAAAAGTTTTTATTCTAGAAAAATGATCCATGGCTAACACTACACACATTTTAAGAGAAACCAGTTCAATATGGGGGATTAAGGGGCAAGGAGGTCTCAAAACCATCGTTGTTTAAGGCAACATGGCAGGTTCTCAGGAGGGGAAAATGTAGATAATGCTTAGACAGTATGTTTTGGTCATTGTGCATAGTGAGGTCAGGGATGTAGTAAGGAGCTTTAGCAATTGCATGCGTGGGATATTGAATGGATTGGTGGAATTCCACAGTTCCATTCCATATGTCATAGAAGTGTCTTGTATAAGGTTAGATGTTTTGATGGACAAGATTTCAACCCTCAGTTTGCTGTCTAGGTATAGTTCTATCTGACGAGTGAAAGATTGTTCCTTGTTGTTGATGTACAGTGGAGAACAACAGTTTGTTCAATGCAAATGTACACTACCACACCACTCATTTGCACAATCTTTGATAAGCTCGAGGTGTTCTTGGACATTGGAGGTCGTAGCAGTTTAAATGGTATAAAGGATGGGATCACAATTGTATTAGTCTATTATGTGAGTTGAATACTCGTTCAAACTCACATTGAAGCACAGTGGTTGTTTAAATGGGATTCGAGGATAAGGTAATAATGAGTGGGTGGGAAAGTTTAGATGTAGGCTTATAGAAAATACTTGGGTGCCATTCCTATCAAAAGCCTGAGCCACATTCAGGAACGCACCCAAGCAGTACTCGTTTCTTCTCCAAGTGGACAAAATGTCAATTACTCTGAAGCTTTGCTAATTGATATCGATTAAACTTGTAATTGTGTTTAAAAAAATGATCATGGCGACATAATGTTACAATAGAGAAAAACAAAACTTGTTGATGCTTTGAAAAAAGGGAAAAACAGGTGATAGGAATAAATTTCACTATGAAAATGAAACATAACAAAAATGTAAATATATTTTTCACTTCACATAATATGGCTACAGTTAAAAATTTTCTTTACATACTGCCCTCTGCTTTACAAATATGTTTTTACAGGGAATACTTCATACAGAAAAGGCTGAACATTTATTTTGTTTGGAATTACTTATTTAATTTAGAGTTACATAATGCAAGGTTAATCTGTGATTTGAATTGGTACATTAAAACAGCCGACTGGTGTAGAAGATCGTCCTTCTGATAACTGCCAGTGCACGGAAGTTTTAATCTGCAAAAAAAAATCATTGAAATTTTACTATATGCCATTATGAAATTTGTCTGGTTAAAATACACAAAATCACATGTATCTTTTAATAACTAACCTATCTCTAACCTTAACACTAAACTTACCTAACCGAAATCCTACTTTACCTAATCTAATCCATCTTTTCATAACTTGTATAAATCGAAATGTAAAATTAGGACAATTTCTTTAATTTGTAAGCAAGTGGAATTAAATTTGAGATTTCTCCTTGAAGTAGGTATGTTTGGCCATTTCCAACCTATCCTTGCCGTTTTGGTTTTGACAGATTTGGGCAGTTCATTATTTTTAGTGGTGGGTTTATGCGTTATTTTTAACACAACTCTAGATTTTGTCCAGTTATATTTTTGCTTGGATTCATTCTAAGAAAGAGGATCATATCATTGATTTGTTATTTATATGCTTTGGGCTTATTGTCTTGCAAATCCTCCTCCGGCCAATCTATGTGTTCATCATCCAAACATGTTTTGTCACTCATGATATTGTTAGGTTATGTTTTCCTAGGTTTTGGAGGTTTTGGATTCATTCAATATTTTGGATGACATTTGTAGATGCTAATGCTTTTAGGGCTGTCTGTCGTTCTTACAAGGATTTTTTAAAAAGATTTTTATGGCACAATCATCCTAAATCATACTCACTGTACTATTTCATAATGAAAAAAGTAATGATATCTAAAGATGAAACTGTAAGACTTGTGTAAATTTATTGATACAAGATGTTTGTAGAATTATTATATTGGGTTGTCCGGAAAATAATGCAGGATTTTAAGTTTTCATTAAAAAAAATCTATATAAAATATTCTGTTTACGTTTACAGGATTACTCATTTGTATGAATGTCAACACTTATTAATCCTCTTCCAAATGATATTGTTTGTTTACCTCTGTAGCATTCCGCTACTTGGAAATAATTCAGTCATCCTTATAATGTCAAAGCGAGAATTTCGTACGATTTTCTTTTACGAGTTTAAACTCGGCCGAAGCGGAGCCCAAACGGCTAGAAACATTAACCAAGTCTGGGGCGAGGGTTGTGTTAATGAGTGCACTGTGCAAAGGTGGTTTAAAAAATTTCGGGAGGGAGATTTCAGCCTTGAAGATGAAGAAGGTCGTGGAAGGCCTTCCTCTCTTAATGATGATGTTCTGCGATCAGTGGTGGAAGAAAACCCCAAAACAACTGTTCGAGAACTTGCAGAGCAACTCAAAGTCAGTAAAACGACCGTCGCTGACCACCTCAAGGCGATTGGAAAAGTGAAAAAACTCGAAAATTGGGTTCCACACTCATTAAACGATCGCCAAAAAAATCAGCGCTTTGATGTTTGTGCATCACTTCTTTGTCGAAACAAAAATGACCCATTTCTGGCCAGAATTGTTACATGTGACGAAAAGTGGATTCTCTACGATAACACTAGACGTTCTGGACAGTGGCTCGACAAAGGAGAAGCTCCAAAGCCCCCAACTCATCAAAAAAAGGTAATGGTTACGGTATGGTGGGCTTCATTTGGTTTAATACACTACAGCTTCTTAAATCCTGGCGAAACCATCAATGCTGAATCATACTGTAACCAAATTAATACCATGCATCAGAAATTGGCAGTAATGAAGCCCTCTTTGGTCAATCGGAAAGGGCCCATTTTGTTGCATGACAACGCTCGACCACATGTGTCACGTGTAACGTCACAAAAATTATTGGAGCTTGGCTATGAAACTTTGCCTCACCCACCCTACTCTCCGGACCTCTCGCCTACTGACTACCATTTTTTTAGACACCTGGACCACTACTTACAACACATAATATTCAAAAATCAAACGGAACTGGAAAATGCATTTATTGACTTTATCAATTCTAAAAATTCTGAATTCTACTCAGACGGAATTAATAAGTTACCAACACGTTGGGGAAATTATTTTGATTAAAGAACATTGCTTTAAAGTAACTAGTTTCTTTTTTTTTGTTTAATACCAAAATCCTGCATTATTTTCCGGACAACCCAATAATTATAGTCATAGTTATAACAGCAATAATAAATCTTTCACTCCTTCTAAAATAGCTGATATTGTAGTGCTAGCAGATTTTTTTGTGTTTTCTATTTAACTCTAAATTAAAGTTTAAAGTTGCTTAAGTAAAAACAGCTTGTAAGATTAGTGTCCAAGGGTGAAGTAGTTAGATTTAATCGTGTCTTTTTGTTTTTTGTTTGAGATCTACGAAGTGTTGGACCTGTAATTCGACCGTTTTCAAACAAGCTCATTGATGAAGGTGGCAGAATAGGTACCAGACCTGGACGATCGGCATTAGCTGTACAACTAAGAAGAATAGTTTCAAGAAATTAGACGATTTTCATAATCTACGAATATGAAATAAATTTGTTTTGCAATTATTGAATTTGAATATTTTTGTTAGATTTCAGTAGAGCATAATAGATCGGCATAATAAGCCAAGTTAGACTTTATATACTACTAAGATTATCTAAAGACCTTTTATTATATTGTCTTATTGATTAAGTTCAATTTAAAAATACCGTGGCCAATTTTTGAAATTATTCTGTGGAATATAATCCAAAAAATTTCATGTATATTCTGTAAATAAGCGGTGAATATACTTTTATACCAACAGATAACATGCTTATTCTGGATGAATCGATCACAGCCGAGCCGAGTGCCGGGCCCTGAGGTTATTTTCATTGAGCCTACTTCTTACAGTCCTGGAGGACATCGGAACATTTCGGACTTGTCTTAACAGATTTCTTATCTCATTTCCCATAATGATGAAATGATCCCCGGATGAATCTACCGTCTCTCTCGTCTGCACACCTAGGACGATCCTGTCCTGGCCTTCTAGTGTGAAGCTTCCTATTGTAGAGTGATTTACACTCCGTCTCCTGACGACTTCGCCTTGGCTGTATCTTTTCTCTTTAATGTTATGACCCTGACACTGTCATACTCACTCAAATGCCTGACTGGAGCCATTGAAAAAGGTTTAAGAATATGAATAATATCAAATGAAATCAACGAAGGAAAAAGACTAACTGAAAGCGATTTTTAGGCGTGTAGAATGGAAGGGCACAATACTACTTTTTGTGCACATGGGATTAATCAGTACAAAAGTAACCAAAGGAAGTAAACAAAGCATTATTTGCTGTTTATTTTGACTATGATAGCTCCTGATTATTTGTAACTAATGTGGAAAGATAATGGATTTAATTTTAAACTAAATAAATTGAGTTGTGCGTTAAATTTGTCCATCAGTGTATTTCGAGAAGTAGAATCAGACAAATGATTGCATTAATTTTATACTTTTTTTGGGGGAGGGGGCAGTTAAGGGACTTTTTCTCTATTGCAACCTAATAGGTCTATATTTTGGAACCCCTATGATTAAGACCGTACAGTGGAAAGTGCTTTCCCACAAAACTAAGCACTTTGCGCATTTCTCGTGATGAGAATCGCCTTACCAAAGTGGCTGTTTCGTGAATGAGGAATTGTCTCATATTCATAAAGGATATGTACCGATGCCTTTGGCTAAGATGTATATAGCGTCATCGCGCGGGAGGACCTGGCTCTTCAATAAGCACGAATTCAGGGGGAGATAAAAGAGTGGTACCAATCAAGAAATGGGCAGAGCTTAAACAGTCCCAAACGTCGAGCGAAAGGGCGCATAAGGATCTGCTATTCAGTATTGCCTCGATTTTGCAGAAGATAGTGGAATATTCCTCGTAAATTTGAGTCTTATCACCTATGAGACGATAAAAGAGCCATACTGACTTTACGACTTCCTCCCAAAAGACCTCCAAAATGAGGAGTACCACGAGGATTAAAATGCTATTGTACTTCTTTGGAAACGGTATGAAAGAAAATTGGCTCTCGATTTTGGCCGATGGTCGACGTACAAAGACCTATAGGTAGCCTTTGGAAATCTTGGTGTTGCCTCCTTAACGCACTAAGGTTACTCGGCTGACCGGAAGATCACCCATTAATGGAGTTAAGAGTTTCACACGAAATTTGTGGCATGTCAAACACTTTGAATCCGGTTTTGAACAAGGCTCCTCAAGCATATTATCCCAAAACGGTGAATGAGAGATTGCATAGCCAGTGGACCGGAATGAGGAGACAAATAGAGATAATAGTCGCACAAAAGGGATGAAATGTTGGCCTTTTTCGGAAGGATAATGGGATGCTTAGCGAGATAAGGGAGAAGCGAGTTTTTTTAAACGCCCGCCCACCCTGAGGACTCTATTTTCATCCAGAAAGGGGCCGAAAGAAATAAGACTTATTAGATTTACCCTTGCTAACTAAATCGAGTTCAGATTTAAAATGATGGTATTGTGTTATTTTAACACAAACGGTGGGAGATTTTCTCAGTTCAACAACCGACAAATGATCCTTAAGTCATAAACCGCAAAATTTACATAAAGGCTTTCTCCATTAGAAAACCGAGAAAACTTGACAGTGCTTTAAAATAAATCGTGGTTGCATAGTTTTAACGCAAGCGGGTTGACGTTTTTCATTTCAGCCAAGGGTATCACAGTGTATGGCTTACGCAAAGAGGAGAAGTTGGCAGAAATGATGATCCTTCGAGCCAAAGAGGGTGAAGTACGAAAGTACCAGGGGTAAGTCCACGGGAAGCACAGTCCGCCGGGTTTTCCTCCGAAGCAACGAGACTACATTCCGAACGCACTGTGGTTTCCAATATCTCCAACCCGGTTGGCGACAAATGTTTTCAACTGATGAAGTGGCGTTGACTAACAGGACAGGGAAATTTGAGAGTCTGCATAAACATGTCGAAATATTATACGAATATCAGTGAGGGTATAGTTTTAACAAGCCTAGAAAGCAAAAGTGCTTCGCACAGTTCCAGGCGAGGAACCGAAAGCGTTTTCAAGGGCGCTACCTTGCTTTTTGAGAAAAGATACGTGAGGTCTGTTAGCTGTCTGAAATTGTAGAAAAATTGTGGCTGCATATCTTGTTTTAGACGCAT